AGGCAATTCACTGCAATGCTGCTGTTGTTCATTCATAACACAGTTCTACTGTCTCCATAGGCGTGGAGAATTCCCCAGTATTGCCAGTGCAAACCAGACGTTTTTTTTTTTTGTTACTGGGAAACAAATGCAACACCTCCTCTTGTCACTTGCAGTACGTAGGATCTCAGCTGGAGCAGTTTGGAAATTCAGGGCAGACAATTAGAAACTCCATTAAGCACAGTTGATTCCTCTGAGGTAGTTGGACCAAAAGCAGCATGCACCCTGGGATCTGTAGGACTCGGATATGAAGCACTATCAGTCCTTATTCTGCATCTCTGCTCACTGTTAGATGAACCCTTTGACCTCAATCAAAACTTTATGAGTCAGCACATGGGTGTTGACAGAAATGACTGCGAAGCATGACTGCATGGATAAGATCAAATTGCTTCAGATAAATAGTTTGTTTAAACTTTGGACTTTTTTCAATCATTTTGAAGGTTAATGTTTGATTTTCTATATTTATATTATTATGGTGGTATGGCTAAAGACCGGTCAGACAGTTTCATTTCCAATTACAGCTAAAATATAAGGGAAGTATGAGTTTTGAGCGATGCTGCCATGCTGGCAGCATTTTTTCCCCATTTTTCTCTCTGATAACTTCACAATAACTCAAAAACATTGTCCATAGAAAGTGAAACAAAGCCATTTAATTGACTTAACTTTCTATACAAAGTTGCCAAAGTCTGCATTTTGCATGGCAATCTCATTGCATCATTCTCTCCTACAGTCTGAACAGTACAAGATCATGGAAGCAACAAGGAGCAGGAAGTGAAGTGTTACAGTATACGCTTTATTTTTTAGGCGCAAAATTCCCCCCGTAGGGACTTCTGGTGAACTATGTGTGTGTGTGTGAGCAGGCTTAAATGTTTGCACCTGCTTTCCTTTGTAGTATCAGATTTGCACCTGGCTTTTGTGGTGTTAAAGTTTTCCCTCTTTGTCTCCAGTCTTGGAAGTGTGCTGCCTAGGGCTATGGTGTGAACAAAACAAACACACTCGGGTGTTGTAAACTACTGCAAACTACTGCATTAAATATGAACGGTTTATAAT